CCAGTTCAGAGGCAACAAAGAGTCAGAAGCATCCCAAGAAGATTTGCAGAGTTTGATATGTTGCTAGACACTGAAGTAAACTCTGAAGGAGAAGTTATTCAGTGTGCAATGTTAGTAGACTCTGAACCCGTGAGTACGAAAGAGGCTCTTAAGCACCAAGTTTGGTTACAGGCCATGAAAGAATAACTTGATGCTATAGAGAGAAACAAGACTTGGAAGCTGACAGAACTTCCAAAAGGCAAGAAAGCCATCAACGTCAGATGGGTTTTCAAGCAGAAGCTAAAGCCAGATGGATCAATTGGAAAACACAAAGCAAGATTAGTAGCAAGAGGCTTCCTACAGAATCCTGGACTGGATTACTTTGAAGTGTTTGAACCTGTAGCGAGACATGAAACAATCAGACTAGTGATTGCAATAGCTGCTAACAGGAATTGGCCTCCGATGCATTTAGATGTAAAATCTGCATTTCTGAATGGTTCATTACAAGAAGAGGTGTACGTTTCACAACCTCCATGATTTTAGAAAGAGAATCAGGAAGGGATGGTGTTAAAATTACACAAAGCATTGTATGGATTGAAGCAAGCGCCCAAAGCTTGGAACTTGAAAATTGATTTGTTTTTCAAGGAACAAGGGTTTCAGAAGTGTGAGATGGAGTATGGTGTTTATGTTCAGCACACTTCATAAGGTAATAAAATTCTAGTATGTTTGTATGTTGATGACATATTACTCATAGGAAGTTCTAAATAAGAGATATTTGAGTTCAAGAAAGTTTTGATGAATGCGTTTGAGATGACAGATCTTGGAAAAATGAGTTTCTTTCTAGGGATGAAATTTATATACTCTGAGAAAGGAATCATTTTACGTCAGATGAAGTATAAACTAGAGCTTCTGAAGATATTTGAGCTATAAAATTGCAAGGTTGCTATCACACTTGCTGATACGAATAAGAAGTTGGATTCTGATTCTGATGGAGAGGATGTGGATGCTACAACCTTCAAACAGATGGTTGGTTCTCTAAGATATTTGTGTAATACCATACCTGATATTTGCTATGCAGTTGGAATGGTTAGCAGATTTATGAGCAAACCAAAGTGGTCCCATTACCAAGCTGCAGTCAGGATTCTGAGGTATGTGAAGGGAACTTTAAAAATATGGAGTGTTATTTTCGTCTGGAAGAAAGATATAATAAGAACTTCTGAGCTATTCTGATTCTGATTGGTGCGGAGATAGAGTTGACAGAAGAAGTACTTATGGGTACTTATTCAAATTTCTGGGAGGTCATATTTCTTGGTGTTCCAAGAAGCAACTTGTCGTTGCTCTGTCAACCTGTGAAGCTGAATATATTGCAGGTGCTCTGACTGCATGTCAAGCTGTGTGGATTCTGAACTTGCTGAAAGATCTGAAGATTGAGGTGAATAAACCTATGAAACTGATGATTGATAACAAGTCTGCAATCAATCTTGCCAAGAATCCAGTGTTGCATGGAAGAAGCAAGCATATTGAGACCAAGTATCATTTTCTGAGGAATCAAGTTCAGAATGGAATAATAGAAGTTGTGCACTGTAGCACTGTTGGCTCCTGAATTCGACACCCACGTTTGTTCATCATAGAGATCATTAATTATGAGTCAGAAGAGTTTCCTACACCAGAAGGCTTCGACCAGCTGATCACGTCGAAGGCTCATCAAAGAATGACAAGATACTTAGAGAAATTCCTTTAAGTTGGAATCTTGTTGTCTTCGACGTCGAAGGAGCGACCTCTCGACCAAGGTCCCTGATACCCAAGATCGAACGATTTAAATTCTGAATTGTTGGAGGGAAAACGGTTCCCAGCAGTTACCAAGCGCAACGTGTCGTGCACGTAGGCGTCGAAGGTTGGTAGCATGCCATGTGGTGTCATCATGAAGCGGCGTGACTGCCCAGCAGTTACTTAGGTTTTTTAGTATAAATACTAAGTGTTCACGAAGTTATTAGGGGTGTTCATCATTGCATACAAGTCACTCATTTAGATTCAAGTACCCAACGCGAGAGAAAGAATCATTGAGAATGTATGTGTGAAACACCATTTACCTTAATCAAAGTCTTTTATATTCAAGCAATTTATCACTTTCACTCATTTACTTCAGTTGAAGGCATTTATTTAGCAAACCTTTAATGCTTTTATTTACTTTATCAAGCTTTTCTCCATGCAATTTATTTAAAGTGACTCTACTTTACTTGCATTAATCACCATTAGGATTAGTCGAAACTCTTTACTTCAAAGCATTTAAACTCCAAAGATCAACCATGTCTTAGGATCAATCTGATCGATCCTGCGAGTCACCAAATAAGTAACCTTTTGGAAGATCAGCGGTTGTTTACCATTTTTCACGGTAAACAAATTGGCACACCCGGTGGGACATTGTGTTGATTCTTTCACGTTTAATCGTCTTATATAAAATATCCTTCTTTTTCAAGAGTATTGCATGTTATTGAGAAGTGGTAGAATATACACCAACGAAACCAACACTAGGAGAAGAGTTAGTGAAATGGTGAATCCTCCAAACAATGGAGAAATCCCACAAACAAACGTGGGAGCAACGGTTATCCCAACCGTAAGTGAAGTGGTAACCGCTGGTTCGACGCCAGCAGTAACGATTACACAAACGGGGGCATTACCTCCATTTACAGGTCCCAGAATGCCCTTGGGAACTCCCCCACCTTGGGGAAACCAAGGAACAAGACTGTGATCGGTGGATCTGGAACTGACTGTTTAACGCTGGTTCGCGAAATGTCGCGGAAGCAAGAGTCGCCACCGCCTTTTATTTTCTCCAAATGGAAAGGACAAAAGCACAGAAAAATTCCTTTAAAGAGATTGCTCTCGGTTCGGGAGGTAGGTTATAGAAAGGGAAGGTGTTAGCACCCTTTCTATCCATGGTTATCCATGGGCTCTTAGATACTTGCTCATTTGTGTTTTCAAAAATGGTTTGTTTTCTTTTCAATGTGGGTTTAAAAAGTTTCTTTGAAAATTCCAGTTCGACTCTTGTATCGGTCCTCAAGAGTGTTTGAAAAATTGCTTTCGGAAGCTTTTTGAAAAGGTGTCGGTGTGAAAAGTATTTTTGATTTGTTTTGAAATTTAGAGCAAGTATCTAGAGTCGTCTACCTACCCTAAGGAATTCGTCTGTGTAAATGTCCTTTAAAGTAGTGCCATCCCGCCATTGAGAGGTAGGTAGCACCACCGTTGGAGGTGTTCGGGTCAATTCGAGGTTCGAGACATGGTGATCACCAGAGCAATGGGAAGACACCTTAGAAGCTACCCTCATGCCAGGTTCCCGGATCATGAGGACTTACTAAGACATCCTCTACTCGACGATCACCTTTCGAAGCAAGGCAACAGTGAGGCGTATCCTAGGGGTGGTGTGTGATTTTGTGTGTCAGCTTCGTTTCTTTGTCTTGTCATGTCGAAGTGATCTATGCGTTTGTTTTTATTTTTGTCATTCATTCTTTCATGCATTTATTTAACAGTTAAGAAAGTGCGGAAAGGTAAAATTCTAAACTATTACAAAGGCGCGGGTCCACATCGCCAAAATTTCCAGGACCCGATTTGACAGAAAAAATAAAGAACTAGAGTAAAAGTGCAAAAGATAAGTATTTACACGGCTTTGGGAGAATTACATAAATAATTAAAAGAAACAAAATAAAACGCGCGAATTAAATTAAAATTAGAAGCGAGGGCGTTGGACCCTTAAATGAAATTAGATTATTATTGACAAATTAATTCAATTAAAATAAAAAGAGAAATTATTTTTGAGGTTTTCGTATTTATGGTTTTTTTTAAGGGGAATTGAATGAAATTAACTAATTAACCCTAATTCTACAACTTTTATTTATTAAGAAAAACCTATTAAAATTTAAACCTAAAATTAAATTAATTAATTAATGACAATTTGATTTTATGAAAATAAATAATTAATTATTAATGAAAAGAAAAGAAAAAGGATAAAAATTAATTAAAACCCTAATTCTACCAATTTTAAGTTTATTAGAAAAATATTAAGATTTAAACCTAAATTAAAACTAAAATCAATTAATGATGTTTATTTACAAAAAAAAAAACATTAAATAAAAATATTTATTTTTTGTCTCTTTTCTGATTTTATATTGTCTTTATGTTTTTCATGAAAATATTAAATTTAAGGAATATATAAAAAAGAACTAATTGAAATAGATGAAAATAAGAAAGAAAAGAATTGTAAAACCTAGGGGGGTTCTGTCCCCAAATTTGGAGGTGTATTCTTAGCATTTTAGGCCCATCTTTGCAAGGCCTTTTGACTTTTTCAGGATGCCTGTGACTTCATTGACTAACGCTTAGAGTGTTCTCCCAGTCTGGACCCTTTGATTGATCTCATTACACGCGTGGCAAGCATGGATGTGGAGAGTATGGTGAACCCTTATATTGAAACTGCACAGAAGCGTTATTAGCAAAATAATATGGAATAGAAAGGGGGACCTGGGGTTCGAACCCAGGTCCTCTCGCTTACCAACACAACCCCTTGCCAACTACACTACTGTTTCTATTTGTTAATATAATCACAACAAAATATAATATATGTAACTTATACAAAACACATCAGGAGGAAACTTTCTCTCACATTAACTCTATTCTTCTTTTCTTAAGGATAAGAAACCCAAACTCCTGGCAACTAAACATCAGACAAACCAACCTCATCTCATTAACAAAATCAATGTATAAAATCTCAAAAGAAATCAAAAGAAACACATAAATTTGAAAGCCAATGGGAGAAGAGAATAAATACAGCACATCCTGCGTTTTCCGCGTGATGGTTCTCACAGTGTTCCGTGGCGTTGGTTGCACGGCAGAGACGGTCGACAGTATGCGGTCGAGGGAGTCGCAGAGAGAAGTCGGCGGCGGAAACCGCTTCCCGCGGTGTTATCGTCCTGGATCTGAGTAGTGGTAGTCAGTGTTGAGCGATCGGAAGCAAGGATGGGTGATTGTTAACGTCAAAGCTTCGATGGGATGAGCGTGGTTGGAGCGGCAATCGGAACGCGAGGAGGCTGGAGGCGGTGGATTTCGTGTGGCCAATCGATTCTCGCGTGTGGTGGCCGGGAATGGAGCGTCGGTGGTTGTCGAGGCTCAGATAAATCGAAGGTGTTTGACGGTAGAGCGGTGTTCGCGGGACATGTGATGAGTCCGTAAGCTGTTTGACTGGAAGCAGATCGGAAAGGATTCAAAATCTCCTTTGATTCTTCACCAACAACCTGCAATAAAAGCCAAAACAATGCAAGAGAAGGATTGCACTGAATCTGCATACCACTTTCACTTGTTCCTCATTTATTGTGCAGTTTATGTTGAAAATTATTTTTTAGTTTTGCGTTCTTTTGAATTTTTACGATTTGTCTATGGCCAAAGGTGATGTCAATTGGAGAGGTTATGGTGAATTGTTTTTGAAACTTTACACTCAAAGAGAAGTGGTAAACAAAAAACACAAGATTTATAAAATATATGAAGAATGACTTTACTGTAACGAAAACAAAAACACACAGAAGAATAGTTAGAAAAATACTATTCAATTTTTTTGGCTTTTATGAAAATAGGGGTTAGTCACGAATTGAATAAGTGACTGAGAGAATATGTACATTGTGAAATTTTCTACGTGAATGAGTTGAAAGCTAAGTGAAATATATACAATTATTTTTTAGAAAAAATATATACAATGTGTGTAATTGATAAAGGGTTAGTCTAATTTTGTGAAAGATGAAAGTGTGTGTATCAGTGAATAAGGGTTTGTATTAGTATAAGTACTGGAATGATTAGGGTTGGAAATTGGATAAAAAAAACCTTTGCATTGATGAAGAGATATTTGATTTTCATGCCATAATTTTTCAATCTTTTTCATGCTAATTTGATACCAATCATGTCCAATTACCATTGATTCTTTCCTTATCTGATTTGCACGAAATCTTGGTGATATTTTATGCACAAAAAGATTTAAAAAGTTTGCCTTGGTATTTTTTCCATATTTTAATTAATTAAATGAATTATTAGCCATTAAAAATCCAAATAAATAAATAAAAATGATGAAAAACTTCCCTTTGGGCAAAATGGTCGTGCACATGCTTTGGGTGATGATTCTTGGAAGAAAATGTGGCCCATTAGCATTTTTAGGTCATTTGAAGCAATATTGACTTTTCAAAATATCCAAAAATTTCCCAACTTCCACAAGGCCTAACTTGCTCAATTTTTAAGCTTTGCTCATGTTCTTGGACATTTTGGAAAGGTCTTTGAGTCCTCTAACCAATGCCTTTAGTCCCATGTCATTTTGATTTACCAATATCAAGTTATGGCCTTTGACTTAAAGTCCCTTTTTGTTGACTTTTGAAAATGACCTATAATGTTGAAATTGATAAATTTTTGTGAGAGCATTTATTGGACTTGAAGTATGAAGAGGAGTTGTAGGAAATGTCTTTCTCTTCAGAATGAGCTTTGGATGGGATTTTTCTGATAATCCATGTGGAAGTTATGCCTTGGTCAAGTTACAGTTGACTTTTTCAACTGTCCAAATATGGAAACTTTTGCATCTTGAGACTTTTTGAGCCAAACTTTGAGAATCATGATCAAGCATTGATCAAATGATGTTTATGGCTTCAAAATGAGATGTTGACCAAAAATTTGGACTTTTGACTGTCAAATGACCATTTTGCCCCTACAGTTGACTGTAGTGCAATTAGGGTTTTTGATTGTGCAATTTTGTGCTGTAAGTCTTGAAACTTGACATGAGGATGCTTGACCATGTTTATAGGCATGTGGGACTTGATTGGACCCTTGGAAACTTCATTTTCTTCGTCAGAACCAAAACCCTAATTTTTGACTGTTAGAAGGCCCTTGAACCGTGCAACCCTTGGGGAGATTTTGAAGCATGCTCTTTGCCATTCTTGAAGAATATGGGAGGGCAAATTTTGGGGTACAACAGTTGCCCCTGTTCAATCTTCTTAGACCTGAGGATGCAGATTGGCTGACGTGCCTTTCGTAATCCAAAGGTGGAAGATGATTGAACACTAGAGTGCCCAGAAATTTGCGCTCACATAGTAGTGTGATGTGGGGAATGGGCTTATAGATTCCATTTGGAGATTGATTAATAGGATGATGGGCTTATAGATGCCATGCTAAGAGGTGATGGATAGGTGGATGGGCTTATAGATGCCATTTGGATGTCAATCGCTTAAGAGATTCCTTAGCGAGAACTTGCATACCTGCAAAAGAAAAAATGATTACCTGGCCTGTTACAGGAGCTGGTCTTCAAATTCTTTGCGTAGATGTGTCCTGACGAGTTACAGGAGCTGGATCTGGAGCTTCAAAAGGTGATGAATGAACCAGGGATGGTTACTACCTCAACAGGAACGATGAGAGAACCTTGGACGACTTCAACTTCAACAGTAACGCTGAGCGAATCTGGGGATGATTACTACCTCCGCAGTATCAGGGAGAGAACCATAGGCGACTACAACCTCAACAGCAATCATTGAGAGAATCTTGGACAACTTCGACTTCAACAGTAACGCTGAGCGAATCTGGGGATGATTACTACCTCCGCAGTATCGGGGAGAGAACCATAGGCGACTACAACCTCAACAGCAATCCTTGAGAGAATCTTGGACGACTTTGACTTCAACAGTAACGCTGAGCGAATTTGGGGATGATTACTACCTCCGCAGTAATCATTGAGAGAATCTTGGGCGACTTCAACCTCAACAGCAATCATTGAGAGAATCTGGGGATGAGTATCAGAAGGTAGCCATATCCGGGTCACATCTGAACCATCTCTAGAAAGGTGATCTCTGAATAAACAATAGAACAGCTTCCGTGTCCGGAGCATCCCTAAGTTATCTGAGGGGGTCTGGAATAAGTTTCAGAACGTCGCCATGCCTAGGTCACATCCGAACCATATCTGGAAGGAAATCTGGAAGAAGTATCAGAACGTCGCCATATCTGATTCACATCTGAACTATATCTAGAAGGAAATCTGGAAGAAGTATCAGAACATCGCCATATCTGGGTCACATCTGAACTATATCTAGAAGGAAATCTGGAAGAAGTATCAGAACGTTGCCATATCTGGTTCACATCTGAACTATATCTAGAAGAAAATCTGGAAGAAGTATCAGAACGTCGCCATATCTGGGTCACATCTGAACTATATCTAGAAGGAAATATGGAAGAAGTATCAGAACGTTGCCATATCTGGTTCACATCTGAACTATATCTAGAAAAAAATCTGGAAGAAGTATCAGAACGTCGCCATATCTGGTTCACATCTGAACTATATCTAGAAGGAAATCTGGAAGCAGTATCAGAATGTCGCCATATCTGGTTCACATCTGAACTATATCTAGAAGGGAATCTGGAAGCAGTATCAGAACGTCGCCATATCTGGTTCACATCTGAACTATATCTAGAAGGAAGTCTGGAAGCAGTATCAGAACGTCGCCATATCTGGTTCACATCTGAACTATATCTAGAAAGAGTTGCGATAGTTGATAGTAATCATTTTTGTATTGGCCTTTCCTGAAAAGGTAAAGCATCAGTTGCATGCAAGATCATGATGCATGAACTGCATGATTTCAGGATGTCCTCAAAATTGATGAGATTCGTGTAGTATGATGCATATGCATGCTATAATGTATGAAGATGTAATGTTCATGAATGTATTTTTGTCTAAGAAAATAAATCCTTGACGGGTGCCAGGCAGTTAACTCCTGGACTGGTGTTGAAGAGAGAATTCTTCGCTTTGTAAGAATAAACCGATAGGAGAAGATGACTCCGTTGGGGAATAGACTTGGCGAATGGATTACTCTGCGGCAGGAAAAGTACTCTAATGATCTTGTTGGGGAGCAATACTCTGTGGAGAGAGGTACTTTGTTGAGCTGTTGATAATAACTTGTTGGGGATACCCTGGTTGTGTTGGAAGTGTTGATAGACTTCACTGGGGATAATACGACTTCGTCGAGAACGCTGTTTCCGTGGCTTTTGGCTGAGGATAACCCAGTTATATCCTGGTAAGGAAATAACTCTTTAAATAAAGCCGGGGGACGCGTTCGTGCTCTGCGAGGATAAGCTTCCAGAATCTACTGGGGATAAGCTTACTGCTTGGGGAGATGGATTCCAACTTTCCTGGGGAACTAGATTAGACTCTCCTGGGGAAGTATTGAACTGTACCGGGGAGGTGACTCCAACGGAACCTACCTTGATACCTTGGAGGACCGAACAATCAGATTGCTTAGACAACTTTTTATTGCCCCTGTTTCTGATGTGGGAGAGGATACCTGTGGGGGTAACTGACAAATCTTCTGGTAGGCAAGTGGCGAGATGCCGGGACATAGTCGTACGCTTTGATCCCTAACTTTTGCCTGGACCGCCCTTTCGGGTTTTCGGTCCACCGGGATACCCATTTTTTCCCAAGCCGCCTTTTTAGGTTTTCGACTTGCCGGGTGTACAGATTTTTTTCATTTCATCCCTTCATTTTTCCCGAACCCTTTTGGTTCGTCGGGAAGCCCTTATTTTTGCCTAGGTATGACAACCTAGCGGGTCTTTGATTACGCGTAGTATTTTTTTGACTATGTCCATTCTCTTAGAATGTGGGGAGTTGCCCCTGTTGGAAATATTTTGCCACGCCACCAGAAGGTGTTTGATCAGGCAAGATTCGTTGTTGGAGTGCCCTAAGTGACTCAGGCGGAGACTTGCCCCAGGCTATTTGGCCTTTAAGAGATTCTCCGAATCTTGATTGGGTTGCCCCAGATGATGGACCATGATCATGCCGTGCCCCTTGATTGGAAGTGCTTTTGTCACTAGGTATTCCTCGTGCGAATTTCCCAGCTGTTCAAACAAAAAGTCATATGCAAACAAAGTTATGTTAAAAATGCAAAGCTCATGTCTGTCTTGAAGATTTTAAAAATGCATTTTGTCGTAAAATGATGTGATGTCAACTCAAGATTTTACAGCGAGCCTTCAGGAGTCAGGATACCTTTCGTAACAGTATGCTTTCGAACTAACCCATGCTTCATCTAGGACTTTTAAGGGTTATAACGTGGCCTGGTTCACGGTTTAAGAAACAAAGGATAAAGGCTCAAATTATTTGTACCCACCCGTTCTTCGTGATGTTCTCCAAACCTAAGCTCAGTTGATCATACGTTAGACCTTATTTTGAGCTTTTGCTTTGATATACCAGTGATGATTCGGATGTTGATAGTTTATTTTGAATAGGCAGTCATTTCCTTTTTTGCTGAGGATTTGCAAGACCTCTTTCTTTTTGATT